CCTCCTGGGTTCAGGCAATTCTCCTGCCTCAGCCTCCTGAGTAGCTGGGATTACAGGCACACACCACCATGCCCAGCTAATTTTTTGTATTTTTAGTAGAGACGGGGTTTCACCATGTTGACCAGGATGGTCTCGATCTCTTGACCTCGTGATCCACCCGCCTCGGCCTCCCAAAGTGCTGGGATTACAGGCTTGAGCCACCACGCCCAGCCAACCTGAACTATTATATGAACTTGCTTCCTCATGCTGACATGTATCAATTAAAGTAGCAAAATGAATTTTTGCAAACTGATTTTTAATAGCTTGAGTGAGCTAGTGTTGACACACCCATACACAATTCACCCGTTTAGAGTATATCATTCAATGGTTTTGGTTTATTCACTGAATTGTGCAACCAGGACCACAATCTATTTTAACGTGTTTCATCACTGCCCCCTGCAAAGCCTTGCACCCATTAGCAATCACTCCCTAATCCCCCTATGTTCTTTAGCCCTTTATAACCATTTAGTGACTTTCTGTCTCTATAGATTTGCTTATTCTGGACATTTCAGATAACTGGAATCATGTGATACATGACCTTTTGTGTCTAGCTTCTTAATGTTTTCCAAGTTCATCCATGTTTTGGCACAGATCAGTACTTCATTCCTTTCTATTGCCAAATAGTGTTCCAATTATATGGATATATATACTTTGTATATCCAACCATCTAGGCTGTAGCTTAATGGACATCTAGGCTGTAGCTAATTAGATTCCCTTTTCTTCACATCGCTCATCATCCTTTCAGATTTAACCTCTTTAATTAAGAGGAAAAGATACTTACAGATACATATACTTATCCAATTTGGTTGCAAAATGCCTTGGCATCTGTCCACATCCATAATAGTTGCGATCACTTTCTGGTATGTGATCCACATCATGAAAAATTAAACAGTCCCAATCCAAGTCCTTCATTGCTTCTTGAAAGCCAACGTTGAAAAGCATGGCTCGATTAAAGGGCTGGGTACCAACCTAAAAGAAACAGAGCTTTATTTTTAAAATAATCTTGAAGCAAAATCTTTACTGCCTTTGCTGTGCCTAAAGAAGAGTTGATTAGAACCAACTGGAAAAGATCACTGGGCTAGTATAACCAGGTCCAGCACCACACATCAGCTCACTCACAGTATAGCCCACAAGTCACTGGACCTCTGGTGGTGCGGGAGCTCACACCTATAATCCCAACACTTTGGGAGGCTGAGGCGGGTGGATCAGCAGTTTGAGGCTAGTCTGGCTAACATGGTGAAACCCCATCTCTACTGAAAATACAAAAACATTAGCTGGGCGTGGTGGCAGATGCCTGTAATCCCAGCTATCGGCGAGGCTGAGGCAGAAGAATTGCTTAAACCCAGGAGGCCGAGGCTGCAGTGAGCCAAGATCACGCCACTGCACTCCAGCCTGGGCAACAGAGAGAAAAAAAAAAAAGAAAAAGAAAAAGTCACTGGACCCTGGACCCCATTTTCCTTAAAAATATAAATGGTAGCAAACCCAAGCTTCTCTCTCTCAAGGCTACTGAAGATAGAAATTCAATCTCCTAACAGCCTTTAGAAGAGTACCCCACTCCACAAAGGTAAGACAGAATATTACCATTTCTGCTTTTTACTGCTTGCCAATCATTCTCTTCAGCATATCAACCAATCTGTAGCTGTTCATAAACCAAATCTACTACAAAGAGTTGTTTTTGGTTTTGTCTTGTTTTATTTTTAAAATCTAAGACAACAGTCACTGAGCATGCCAGGGACTCAAGCCTATAGGGACAAATAATTCAGGCTCATGAAGAGACTAGTTCAAATCAGTTAACAGCCTAACTAGTGTAAATGCTACATTGACTCACCCTTGCCAGTATCAAAATACCCAACTTAGGACAGGCAGATAGACGGTTAACATTTCCCAGATGCCCAGCCTTGCTGAGCAGTGGTGCTCAGCCCTTTATCCTCATTCCAGTATAAGGCAAGCTCCAGGCTGACCACTTAGAGCAAAAGACTCAAAAGTGTGCCCACAGGGAGAGGTGAGCATGCAACAGGCCCTCAGGTTGACAATCAGTGTATTCAGGAAAATCTGTCAATCTTTCGTTTATCTATGGATACAGTGCTGCTAGTTCAAGGATCACATACTTCACAATGCCTACAGAAGCCAAGTCAGTAATGTAAGCATGTAAACTAGGCCACCCAAGAGAAAACCAGAGTAGGACAGTTGTGTTCTATCTAAAGCCAAATAAAAAATATGCAGGACCAGATAAAAAAAAGATTTACAGACTAAATTTTCCACCTGCATCTTCTTCAGTTTATGACCTCTATAACTGCTTCAGTACATATATATATATATATATATGTATATATTTTTTTTTTTAATTTTTATTTATTTATTTTTTTGAGACGGAGTCTCACTCTGTTGCCAGGCTGGAGTGCAAAGGTGCAATCTCGGCTCACTACAACCTCTGCCTCCCAGGTTCAAGCGATTCTCCTGCCTCAGCCTCCCGAGTAGCTGGGAGTACAGGTGTGCACCACCATACCCAACTAATCTTTGCATTTTTAGTAGAAACAGGGTTTCACCTTGTCGGCCAGGATGGTCTTGATCTCTTGATCTTGTGTTCAGCCTGCTGTGGCCTCCCAAAGTGCTGGGATTATAGGCGTGAGCCACCGTACTCAGCCCACTACCAATATTTTTAAGATTAAAACAAAACCAAACCCTGAGGCTCAGAGAAGTCTGCAAATGTCCCTGGCCACTTGGTTAATTAATTAACAGCAGACCGAGGACAGGCACTACAGTCTCTTGCCTCCAAGGCCACATCCTCTGTGCTGGATCTTGCTGCAGCTCTTCATCTTAAGGGGAACTTCCTGGGTGTGGGGCCTGCAGGCACCAGCAAAACCACCATACAAGAGGCCTTTGTTCATGTGCAAACAAAACTCTCTCCTGGATTCAAGTGTGCCCAGTACTGGGCAATAAACATCTCAAACCAGGAGCACAGAATTGTCCTCTGCTCCCCTTCCCACCTCAGGCAACTTAATCCTAAGATTTCAGTTTTGCTGGCTCTTCACACCAACAGTGGAAAAGCTGCAGCATCCTAAACTGCTGTCTCAGAAGAGAAAGAGGAAAGGAAAAGAAAGGACCACTCACTTGTTCAACCACATAAAATGCAAACTGCAGGCGCTGGCGCTGAAGCATGGGAATCAGGTGTCTGAACAGGACTGGGAGGTGCTCGTGGCGGTTCCGAAAGGGGATAAGGATCGCCACCTGGAGTGCATCACAGCAAAAGCAGCACAGTTAGGACTCTCAACTTTCACTCCTTAACAGGACCACCCTGCAGAATTGGTGACCAACCCATAGGAGTTCTTGGAGGCTGGCTATCTTGTCCTCAGCTTCCTCTAAACAAAGACCTATGTTGGCAAGTCAGCCCTTAGACCTAGATGAATGTTATTCTTACATATACCATATTTTATAGTACATAGTAGGCCTGCAATTCATTCTAGGCCATAACTCATAGGAAAAAACACATTCTACCCTGTGACAAAAATACATCTATAAACTTAAAACAAGCTTCACAAAACGTGAAAAAGGAAAAGTATTTTTCCTTACAACGTGCAATGTACAAATGCTGGTTATTAAATTGTTTTTATATCCCCGCAATGGGTTGGATACTGATCTGTTCCAGATACGCCTTGATCACTGCTGCATCACCAGCATGTAACTGGCTGGCAGAGAATAAGCATTTTAATAGATATCTGTTGAAAGAATGGACTTAAGCCGGGGTCACAGCTTCTATGGTCAGGCAGAAAAAAAACGAAATCTCAGTGTCAAGCCAGATAACTTTGCTTTTTAATCCAGTAATCTGGTAGTAACCAATGGAGAACGGGCACGAAGCACTGACTCTGTGCAGATGACTTCTGCAAATGGGTGGGTAGAGACCACCAACGCCCTCATCCCCTTGTTAATACTCCTGGCAGGAAGACCTAAGGGTCCTGCTTGGTCATCAGAGTAACGTAAATTTCTGTGTCTACAAAAGAGTCCTTGTGGGAACCCATTCCTCCAAAATGTTTCTACACAACGCAAAGACTTTGCATGAGGGGTAGGAGGTAGGATAAAAATGACAAAACGTCATGGTTAGCTAATTCCACAGTGATTCAGACCAAAGGCAACACCCAGGTGGGCTTCTCAGCATTTTGGGTCTGACTTCACACCCTACCTTCCACCGAGGCATGCAATCAGAAGGCTTCCAGTGACCTCCGAGCTTGATGGTTGGGTCTTTGGAGAAGAGTTCATGGATGTAATCCATTCCAATTTCACTCATGTTTACGTCTATTGGGCCCTCTGAACAGAGAGAGGAAAAAGGGATTAAGAAGTCAGAAAATGGTAAGTTTTCCTCTGCCTGAGGTTTTAGTCTCTGGAGAAATGCAATGCTTTTTCAGCAGAATGTGTTTTTAGCAGGGATGGAAGACTTTTCCTCTACTTTCCATCTCACTGCATTTTAGTTCCTCACTATTATCAAGGTAAAGAGGCAAATCAAGGAATTAAGGCTTTAGAGTTCTGCTTCTGTCAGGGGCAAGAAATGAAGACTTTTAGCTGAGCTTTTTTCTTTTTTCAACAGAGTCTGACTCTGTCGCCCAGGCTGAAGTACAGTGGTGCGACCTCAGCTCACTGCAACCTCCACCTCTGGGTGCAGGCAATTTTCCTGCCTCAGCCTCCTGAGTAGCTGGGATTACAGGCACACGCCACCTCGCCCAATTAATTTTTGTATTTTTAGTAGAGATGGGGTTTCACCTTGTTGGCCAGGCTGGTCTCGAACTCCTGACCTCAAGGGATCCACCCACCTTGGCCATCCAAAGTGCTGGGATTACAGGCATAAGCCACCGCACTCGGCCTTCTCTTTTTTTTTTCCAGTTTATTAATATGTTTTAATAAATAGAGACGGAGTCTCACTATGTTGCCCGGGTTGGTCTCAAACTCCTGGGCTCCAGCGATTCTCCCAACTCGGCCTCCCAAACTCCTGGGATTATAGGCCTGAGCCCCTGCACCTGGCTGCAGCTGAGCTTTTCTGAGAAGGAGAAATGCAGCTGAGCTTAGAGTCATGTCAGTTTGCTCCTGAAGCAAGTACAGACACACTACCTCTCTCAATCCATTCACCAGTGGCTCAGGACCCTGACTGATTATGTCCAAACTCAGAATGCTGGTCATCGCTGACTTAAGTCAGGAAGTGGTACAATAACAATCTATAAATGCTACTGAAACAATGAACTGTGATAACATTAATTTTAGGTCTGTCAAAGCCTATTTCTGATACACAAATCTTAGCCTTCCCAAACTAAGCTTATATCTAGATGCAGACAAACGCAGGTTTTAAAGGGAAAACCTACATATGTGTGGTGAGACATGCAAATTAAACAGTAAGACTTCCAGCACAACTTATACACTCATAATTAATTATTCATATATGGATGAGAATATGTTCAAATACCATGCAAGACTATTTCTAACACTTTCTCTATTTTCACTATGTTTGAGCATAAAAGTCAACTTTGTAAGATTTTCCTTTTCTTGATCTCATTTCTTTAAAAAAGTTTTAAAAAAAGAAATGGGGAACTATCTAAGCAGCCTAAAAACATAGGAAAGGTAAAAGAGTTTACTGTCCTTATTTTAGCTTACACGAGATTCAAAAACAGAACAAAAGATCTAAGAATTTTTTAAACCAGCACTTTGTTAAGAAAATAACTTCCAAGCAAGGCATGGTGGCTCATGCCTGTAGTCCCAGCTACTCAGGAGGCTGAGCAGGAGGATTGCTTGAGCCCTGAAGTTCAAGACCATCCTGGGCAACACAGTGAGACCTCCATCTCTAAGATCAAGCACTATAGTCAGCAGGAGATTTATACTAAAAAGACAAAAGCTGATTGCCTATACAGTCATGTGCACTGACATTTTCACCAGTGATAGATGGTATATATGGTGGTCGCATGAGATTACAATGGAGTTGAAAAATTCCTATTGCCTAGTGATGACATAGCTGCCATAACACTGTTGTGTTACTCAAGTGTTTCTGGTGATGCTAGTATAAACAAATCTACAGCACTGCCAATCATATAAAAGTATAACACAAGGCTGGCAGCGGTGGCTCACACCTGTAATCCCAGCACTTTGGGAGGCTGAGGCAGGCGAATCACTTGAGGCCAGGTGTTCGAGACCAGCCTGGCCAACATAATGAAACCCCAACTCTACTAAAAATATAAAAATTAGCTAGGCATTGTGGCGGGGGCCTGTAATCCCAGCTACTCCGGAGGCTGAAGCAGTAGAATCACTTGAACCCAAGTGACAGAGGTTGCAGTGAGCTGAGACCACGCCACTGAACTCTAGCCTGGGTAACAAGAGCGAAATTCTGTGTCCCCCCCAAAAAAAGGTATGCACATACAGTTATTAGAGTACATCATACTCAATAATGATAATAAACTATGTTACTGGTTTATATATTTATTTTATATTTTTAAATCATTATTTTACCCTTTGAGACACAGTCATGCTCTGTTGCCCAGGCTGGAGTGTAGTGGCATAATCATGGCACACTGCAGCCTGTTGTCTAGGCCTAGGTGGAAGGATTGTTTGAGGCCAGGAGTTCAAGACCAGCCTGGGCAACACAGTAACACCCTGTCTCTTAAAAAATAATTTAAAAATTGGCCAGGCATGTCAACACGCACTTGTGGTCCTCGCTACTGAAGAGGCTGAGGCGGGAGGATTACTTGAGCCCAGCAGTTTGAGGCTGCAGTTTTTTAAAACTTTTTATAAACTTCTTAAAAGTTAACAAGTTTATAAAGTCAAAAGGTATAATTGTAAGGTTAATCTTCATTAAAGAAAGAAAAGTATCTTCTGAATCAATTTAGTGTAGCCTAAGTGTTCAAGTCTACAGTAGTGCCAAGTCATGTCCCAGGCCTTCACATTCACATTCACTTCGCATCCACTCACGCACTGACTCACCAAAGCAACATCCATTCCTGTAAGCTCCATTCACGGTAAGTGCCCTACACAGCTGTACCATTTTTTATCTTTTATACCTTATTTTTTACTGTACCTTTTCTATGTTTAGATACACAAATACTTACCATTGAGCTACAACTGCCATATAGTACCATGCTGCACAAATCTGTAGCCTAGAGCAACGGGCCACACCATACAGCCTAGGAGTGAAGTAGGCTACATCACCTAGATTTGTGGAAGTATACTCTAGGAGGTTCCCACAACAATCAAATCACCTAATGATGCACTTCTCAGAAAGTCCCCTGATTATGAAGCTATGAATGACTGTATTAATACTTTCTCTAGGAAGTTCAAACAGAGCCCAAGTTACAAAGGACAAGCAAGTGCAAAAGAAAGAGTGAAAAGGCAGAAAATGGAACCCAAGAACACAGGCAACCTTGCAGCAGGCTTTGAGGAGCCAGGAGCACAAATGACTTGCACAGACTCTGTTTCCAATGGCAGGGAGGTATTTATATTCTCTGTATAGGTAGACAAAGAGATCAAGAGTGCATTCCCCTTTATTCATTTTAAAAGCAGAGGAAGATGGGCTGGAGCTGTACTCACTCATAGAAGGGAGCCTTTCAGGGCAGGTATGGTTTGCAAAGTAGGTGAAGTCTTCAGGAAGAAATGTTGTAGTTTGAAGGAAGGTTTCACTGTGGTTTAAGTCAAGAGGATAATCTAGGGAGGTAAAGGAAAAAAGGCAACTCAGACTGGTATGTGTAACCAACCATGCAATTATTAGATGCCTACCAAACTAGTCGTCTTCTTAGCTGTCATCTTGGTGGAAAGAGACAGGACTCTGGGCTACCGCTTTGATGCAGCCGAAAATGTGAACTCATCAATAAAAATGGTAACCAAATGACACATTTTAACCTGTGCTCCTATTCCTGTTGATTTTACAGGTTTACATGCACTCAGTTTACAGTCAACTGTAATTAAACATCATTTTAAAAATAGCAATCTCCCTCCTCTCATTTCTTATTTCTCTTTTTTTTTTTTTTTTTTAAAGACAGGGTTTCGCCATGTTGGACAGGCTGGTTTTGACTCCTGACCTCAAGTGATCCACCTGCCTTGGCCTCCCAAAGTGTGGGGATTATAGGCGTGAGCCACCACGCCCGACCTCATTTCTTATTTTCTAAAGGAACCATGTGACCTTCTTTTGGCCAAGAATTTTAGCATTTATAGCAGTATTCACCTCTGTCAGCCCGTACGACTGGTCATGATGCTTCTGTTTTCAGTCTTAATCTACTGGCCTCCCACTATGGGAGGTGAAGACGTTATTTCCTTCCTCCTGCCACCATTGCCACATGACCCCTTTCCATTCCCCAGTCTCCCAACAGTCACATATCATAGCTGTGGTTAGGACAATCTTCAGTCTTTGTATTACGATGCTGCTGTAAGTACTAGTCATAGCTGAGATATGTGGAAAGTTATGCATCCTGTTTCTGTTTGCTCAGTTTTATATGCAATGATTCTAATTCAACACCACACCTTTCACCAAGACATTTCCTCCTAATACACGCATTAGGTATTTTCTCAACTTCATCCACCCAGAGGAGGTGTGGCAGCTTCTGGCTTTCTTCCATGCCAAATGTGCAGAAGCCACCTCCCTTGCACCCGGCCACCAGAGCCCTGAAGACTGCCATCACCTATCCAAGACAGTACTAAATCTCACTGTCCCTAAGTTCTCACTTTTCCCTTCTTCTTGCTTGGGTAGCACATCATCCAAGTAGCATCCTAAGAAGGGGCAATGAGGCAGTTCGGGCGGCAGGAGGAGTGGCAGCAGCCAGGCAGCCCAGCTTTGCAAAGGCTTTCCGTGCGCTGCGGCCCACAGGCACCCAGCACGCGCCTCCCGGCCGCCAGGATGCCCAAAAGGAAGGTCAGCTCCGCTGAAGGGGCTGCCAAGGAAGAGCCCAAGAGGAGATCCGCGCAGTTGTCAGCGAAACCTCCTGCAAAAGTGGAAGCGAAGCCGAAAAAGGCAGCAGCAAAGGATAAATCTTCAGACAAAAAACTGCAAACAAAAGGGAAAAGGGGAGCAAAGGGAAAACAGGCTGAAGTGGCTAACCAAGAAACCAAAGATTTACCTGCAGAAAATGGGGAAAAGAAAACTGAGAGTCTAGCCTCTGATGAAGCAGGAGAGAAAGAAGCCAAGTCTGATTAATACCATATACCATGTCTCTCAGTGGTCCCTGTCTCCCTTCTTGTACAATCCAGAGGAATATTTTTATCAACTATTTTGTAAATGCAAGTTTTTCGTAGCTCTAGAAACACTTTTTAGCAGGAGGGAATCCCACCTCATCTCATTTTTTTAAGTGTAAATGCTTTTTTTTAAGAGGTGAAATCATTTGCTGGTTGTTTATTTTTTGGTACAACCAGAAAACAGTGTGGAATATTGAATTATGGGAGACTTTGTCTCGGGTGTCAGCTTAACATTCCATAGATGGGGGGTTCGTTTTTATATCCTATAATACAAAGCATATTAAATGGCAATATGGAGTCAGTCCTGCATTTAATGTCTTGAATATTTTAAATTACTTCCATTCCCATGTTGCTTTTTAGTAGAATTGTTTCCTAAAGAAAACCACCCTGATCCTGGCTCTGTCAGAACTGTGTGCACTCTGTAACATCTTTAGTGTGGTAGTCCTGTTTTCCTAATAACTTTGTTACTGTGCCGTGAAAGAGCAAACATTTGAATAAGTAGTGTACATGCTATTCAGCTATGAATTGCTGGGACGTATGTTACAGCTTATCAACATGTGAAGATACAGGTACTTGATAGTCTCTTAAGGAAAATCTGCTTCCAAATTTTAAGCTGGAAAGTCACTGGAATAACTTTAGAAAAGAATTACGATACACGGCTTTTTAGATTTTTGTTATATATGTTAAGAATTGTGTACAAATTGAAATGTCTGTACTGATCCTCAACCAATAAAATCTCAATTATGAAATTAAAAAAAAAAGAAGGGGGAATGAGTATGACTTTGAAACCTTACATATCTGGATATAGTTTTTGCTCTTCTTCGCTTGATTCATAGTTCTTGGGTTTATAGAGTTCGAAGCTAGCAATTCTGCACAACTGTAAAGATGCTATCCCACTGCCTTCTAGATTGCACTGTGGCTATTAAGTCTGAAGCCATTCAATTTCTGATCTTTGTAAACAACCAATAATTTCATGCTAGAAATGCGAAGGACTTTCTCTTTGGTCAGGAAATGTCACGTTGGTGTGCCTTGCTGGGAGTCTGCTTTCGCCTGCGGTGCTGGCCATTCAGTGGGCCTTTAGTTTGCTAATTCGTGTCTTTCTGTTCTGGAATATTTGGGGGCGGTTGGGGGGGATATTGTCTCAGTGATGATTCCTCCCTTCTGTACTCTGTGCTGTCTTTCTGGAGAATACAGAACAGGAATTGGATATGAGACCTCCTGGTAATGTAACTACCTCATATTTTCCATCTACTTTTCCATCTTGCCATTTATCTGCTCTATGTTCCGTATTTCCTCAACTTTACTCAATCCTTCCTTTAATCATCATCTCTGCTATCATATTTTTAATTTTGAAGAGCTCTTGTTTTCTGAATATTTCTTACAATATTCTTGTTTTATGTTTGCAATCATTTTTCTCCTCTTTTATTGAACTCTCCAGTGTCAACATCGCTGGGTCTTTCCTCGTGGTCTGATCAGATTCCCCAGATAAATCCACTCAAATCTCCTGAGAGAATGGTAGAGTCCTGACTATAAACATCTGGAAACCAAGAAGGAAGAGAAAGAAGCTGGGGCATATGTAATCCCCATCTTTTGAGACACTGTGGTCCTGCCAGGTATCCTCAGGTTGAGGAGCTCTGTTTTGCCGTCTCTGGGGTTATTAAGCCTCCAGCTCTTGCCAGGATGGGGAGATGGGTGTGGGTACCTGACTGCTTTCTAATAGCTTTCAAACTCTCTTTATATTAGTTGTCACTTTTGTTCCCACTTCCAATATTGCTAGTTCCTGAGCTTCTGGGGGATTCTGGGGTGGATGCTGGTTTTCCCGTTGCTGCTTTGAGCAGTCAGTCTTCTTGGGTTTGTTAAGTCCTTTATCAGTGGTTCTTCTGCTTTCTACCTAGCAAGATTTTTTTGCTGTGGTCTCCTTTCCTGTTCTCATCCTCAAGAGTTTATGCCATTAGAAAAACATAAACGTATGCCCCTTTAGAGTCCTGTTGGTGGATATGAAGAGTGTGAAGGCAGACGTCTTTCCTTAGGGGACTGTAGTTGTAGGGCAGGAAGAGGGCTTTCCAGCTTTAGTTTTTACAGATGAACGACTGGAACAACATACACAGAACTCGGACCAGGAGCCCTGGCTAATGCATGACACAGCTCCAACTACACTCTGGATTAGAGATCTTTCCAGTATTCTGTACTGTTTGTTTTTTTTTTCTTCCCACAGAATATTAAATCCTTTTGGATTCATGCTGATTCCATGAAAACTAAAACATCCTGTTCAAATTCACTTTGTACCCTAGGATTCTAGAATCTTCAACTAAGATATTTTTTAAAAAGCACTAGGAGCAGGTTTCCAAGAATCAAATGGCTAACACATTGAATCCTTTTTATATGCACACGGCTGCCTACTCTGAGCTGCCTACTCTGCAAGTACTCTGGGAACAAAATTCAATGAGAGACAACTTGAGAATTTTAAGTGTCTTAACAAGTGAAGGAACAGAATGCTTTCTGTCCTTTTTAGTAGTAGCTTTCCTGAAAAACACTAAGCCTACATTTATAGAGAATAGTAGAGGCTAATTTATATAGACATAAACCAGGCTGGGTGTGGTAGCTCATGCCTATAATCCCAGCACTTTGGGAGGCTGAGGCAGGAGGATCGCCTGAGACCAGGAGGCCAAGACCAGCCTGGGAAACATGTTGGGAACCTGTCTCTACAAATAATTTAAAAAATTAGCCGGGTGTGGTAGTGCATGCCTGTGGTCCCAGCTACTTGGGAGGCTGAGGCAGGAAGATCACCTGAGCCTGGGAGGTCGAGGCTGCAGTGGGCCATGATCACACCACTGCACTCTAGCCTGGGTGACAGAGTAAGATCCTATCTTAAAAAAGCAAACCAAACAACAACAACAACAAAAAACAAAAAACAAAAACCCATGAACCAAGACAGAACCTTAAAGGTAATATTTTAAACGGAAATTCTTTGAGCTCAGCTCATACATGCAAACCTGGCCTGGGTTGAACCTTCTTCTGAAGGTAGTAACTACTTCAAAAATCTATGTGAAGAATCCCTCATCCTAATTAGTACTCTGGATGAATCTAATCCATGAAATTATTCTCCTTAAGAAAAAAATGAAAAGACCTCACAAGTACTAGAAAATGTGCCTGTGCTTGTGATACGCCCATGTGTGGCAGGGGACGTATGGCTGGAAACAGTGGCACAGTCAATATATTCAATAGAAGGCAATGAAATTCCCAAAGGTATCACACTAAGTCTTTTCATAAATAAATCAACAAAAACGAAGATAATCAGCATTCTGGTCAATGACTGACCCAAGCCCTAGAGCTAGAACCTAACCAGGAAACTAGAATTTAAAAAACATGAGACAAGAGACAAAGTATCTCTAACTCTAATGATTCTACTATTTGGAGTTTGGAGAATCACTTAAACTAGGGAGGCGGAGGTTGCAGTGAGCCAAGATTGTGCCATTGCA